ACATCTGTTAAAACCCTTCTTAGAACTGCTGACCTACTTTTTGCATGTTTGCTCCAGTATTTATATTAGATTATTTAAGGTAATGAGCTCCAACCTTTTCAGATCTAAAACCCTTTTTTCTCAGTATTAGTTTAACGTCTAGTCTGACTCTCCAGCCCTTTTCGCTTCCTGCATCATCATCATCATCATCATCATCATCATCATCATCATCATCATCATCATCATCATCATCATCATCATCATCATCATCATCATCATCGTCACTCAGAGCTTCAATTTGGAGCTAAATATCATCTCTAAATATGCAGCAAAGTATGAAGCAGAGCAAGTGTTGAAGATGGTACACATCATACCCAAACACAGGGAACTTCCCAGTAAGTTAATGCCACCACCTGTAGATCACGCATCTTTGATTCTGCAATCCTGTCTGCACCACAACATCACTCTTCCTGCTGAGTGTTTAACTTGTTTGTTTTTCACAGTACTTTGCATTTTCTAAACTTCAGAGGATATTTAAAATGATCCCTATCTTACGCTAAAACCCCAAAAAACATCTGGAGGAGGAAAAAGTGTGAAACTCATCAAAGCCAGAATTGCATTTAAGTATTTGTGGTGCCTAAAAAGTCTCAGCTGATACCATAAGATTAATATAAGACAATGTAAATATGGTTTCTTAGCTACTACTGGTAAAAATTAAAATTAAAATTAAAATTACCAATTTTGACAATTTTTTGATCATTTTATATCTTAAATTGAATGAATAAATAAGTAGAAATTGTATTCGGTTCTGAAGTTTTCTCTTAGTTGTTCTACGACCAGAGAATAAAAAAAATACCCTCAGATCATTTGAAAAAGATGATTGGATTGGTTATAATCCACAGACATACACACAGATATTCGTACAGCTTTATCACAGCTATAAGCCCTATAATAACAGTGTGTACATGCAGGAACATGGGTGTAAAAAGGAATTTCCCATCATACAAGATGCGAGGAGAGTTACCAAGAAAACCTGTGCACGAAAAATTATCTGCAGATAGTGCTATTTAGCGTGAGAGGCAGAGGAAAAAGATTGGCAAATAGGGCAGATGATCTGAACCAGCAGTTAGGGGAAAAACATACACCAGCATTTGGATTTGAGTCTTTTTATGATAATTTGAGATAGAATCAGACCCTGAATGGCAAAAGAAAGCTGGCTTCCATTGCTCTTATAACTCAAACTGTTCTGTATTTCAGAACCGATTTAATTTGTCTTCATTAATTAGGCAAGAAGGCTAAGTAAGGTTTATTTATATAGCACCTTTCTCAGGCAAGCGTCACAAAGTGCTGCACAAAATGTGGCATAAAATACAAAACAGCACCATATATAGACAAACTACATCCATCATAGCAGCCCTTGATAAAATGAGTCTAAAATGCTTGGGTAAAAAAAAATATATATTTTTTAGCTGTTTTATAAAATCATTCATGGAGTTCACCAAGCGCAGGTAAAGTGGTAGTGTATTCCACTGTCTGGGTGCGACAGCTTGGAAGGAACTATCACCTCTCGTCCTAAAACGGGTTCAAGGGTCCATTAACAAGTCCTTTACAACAGATCTCAGACTGAGAGCAGGAGAGTGAGGCTGAATCAAGTGAGGCTGAATCAAGTCGAAGTTATAAGAGGGAGCCGGTCCATGCAGGGGTCTAAAGCTAAGGTCCAGAATTTTAACCCTTTAAAGCCTGAACCAGGAAATAATTGAAAGACAATTCTAATTTTCCAAATTTAGAATTGTAATTGGAATTTCAGATAAATGAAATAACTATATACATTTTGTATACATTAAATTACATCATTTATTTGCATCAATTTTGATACAATACGCATTTCTATATCATCTTTTATATGTTTTCTGTTCACTACATGTGTCTGATTATGTAAGTCAGGGTTTCAAGAACAAAAACATCACACTGATGATGCAGAGGTTTCAAAAACTCGTGTATCAAATATGATACACTTGGCTTTAAAGGGATAAAGTTTATGCGGTATTCAATGGGAAGCCAGTGTAGAGCTTTGAGGACAGGAGTTATGTGAGCTCTCCTGGTTGTGCAAGTC